AAAAAAAAAAAAATTAGCCTTGACCTCAGCTTAGCTCCCACAAAAGCACTATAAATAACGGCTTCAAGCAACAGTTACTCCGAAAGCCTCCTTTTTCGATTAGGGTTCCGATACAAATCGCCTGAAATCCTAATCGGAAAAGGAAAACAAAGCATGGTCGAATCTAATATCCGAAACCCTTTCCGTCTGAATCCGATAAAATTCGTGTGCAGCTACGGTGGCCGCATAATCCCCCGGTACCCCGACGCCAAGCTCCGGTATCAAGGCGGCGAAACCCGCGTCCTCTCCGTCGACCGCTCCATTTCATTCTCCGGTGAGCATTCCTTCTACTTGATGCTCCGATTAGTGGTCCGTATCCGTTAATTCCATTTTGCTGATATATATTCGGTTCGATTCCCCTGTTTGCAGAGCTGGTTGTGAAGCTGGCCGAGATGTGTGGCGCCGCCGCGAATCTGAGGTGCCAATTGCCTACGGAGGACCTGGACGCGCTCGTGTCGATCACCTCCGACGAGGATCTGGCAAATCTGATCGAGGAGTACGACCGCGCTTCGGCGCCACCGAAGATCAGGGCATTCCTCTCCGTCCGGAAATCGCCATCGCCGCCGTCCTCCGCCTCCTCCTCTTCCTCCACCAGCAGCGGCTCGGAGTCGCCCAAATCGCTGCTCCGCTCCGGCGGCGTCGCGCCGCTTGGATGCGGCCGGTGCGTCTGCCACGCATCGAGGCCACCGGTGCACCCTAACGCCGGCGGGAAGGCTGCCGGGAAAGTTCCCTGTTACCAATTTCAGTTCCACCGGCATGGCGGCCGCCCAGTTTATGTGATCCACAACGGCGGCCACTGGCAATAGCAGGAAAATAACTGTGGTGAAAAGTGGATTTGGGGATGGATTATATATTTTTGGGAAAATACACTACACAACTAAATAAGGAAAATGTTACGATTTCGTTACGGAACCGTTCTGTCGGGTTTGTAACCGTTAGCTCATCATGTAACTGTCAGAAATAGTTGATCTAGCGGTTACAAATTGTGACAGAATGGGACCGTAACATCTCCCAAATATAATCTATATATATATAATTGCTAGCTCATGAGCATTTAATAAAACCTATTAAATTATACCTATGTGGCAATATAATTTTTTTCCCTCTAAAAACCGTTACTTTTTATTTATTTAACCTCTCATTTAATTATTAGATAATAAACACACTAATCACTTCAAAATTACAAAAATTATTTTAAAATTTTGATTTACTTACAATTCACCATATAATGTGTTGACTATTTAACGTGATTGGATGTTATTGTTGTAGTTACATTTAAATTAACTTCTTTTGAAAAATAAAAAATGTAGTTGAAATTTCTAAATAAATAATAAATAATTCAAAAGAAAGATACATACTAACATATACATTACATCCAATATGAAACGCAATTTAAAAAAATAAATATTTAAGCTCTTTTAATTGTAAATTTGGTAAAAATCATTAATCATTATATGAATACAAATAATTCAGATTACTTTATTTATATATCTATGTGCAAATGCACAGGTCGAATACTAGTATCTTATACTTATGGACAAAAGAAAAAAGAAGACAATTTTGAGGAAAAAAAACTATATATAGTAATATATTTATAAATATATATATATATGTATGTATAAAATATGCTCTAGAAGATGCTTCTGGAACTCTGTATATGATTAAGAATGAATACATTTTGTATTTCATCCATACAAAAATGAAATGGTTGAGTATGCTCAAATGTGATAGTCATGAATTGTGATTTTTATTCTTCTCCCCCCCTTTTTTTATATATATTGAACATATTATTTTTATGGCCCTAAAGCATAAGGGCAAACAATATCATGAGCAATAGTTTTCCAATTTTGGTTTTACATTGGTATTTTTTTATTTTTTTTATTTATATATATGTAACAGATAATCAAGCAGTGCCTTCTGTTGTATATATGTTTTTTTTTGTCAAGAAGCCTAGTATTGTATATGTGTTTTGTCAAGAATTTTCATAGGTGTTTTTTTTTTGTCAAGAAGCCTATTGTTGTATATGTGTTTTGTCAAGAATTTTCATAGTTCATTGTTTATATTTATTGTGTATTTTGCATCTTATTGCATCTTTATTATGTATTTAGTAATAATATATATATATATATTTCTAATAGTGTTGACATTTTCTTGCAGGTGGAGCAGCATATACATTTTGCTGATATGCTGAGCAATTATACTGGTCAACTTATTGTGGTCTGAATTATTATTAGACAAAAAATTTGAACTTTCCCCAACCCCTTCTCATAATAAATTTCAATTCAACTTAAAAAATAATAAGTCAATAGTTTAATAAGGCAATAGCTTGGTTTGGTCCTACAATATGAGTACGGGGTGCCTGCTGTGTATTTTTACACTGCACCTGCGGTGCACCCCTCTCCACCCTTGGATCATGTTACTAACATGATCCAAGGGTGGAGAGGGGTGCACCGCAGGTGCAGTCACAGCAGGCACCCCCCCATCATTACAATATGGGCCACACAGTGCATGAACTCAGTGAGAGGCAACCAAATTGTTCATTAGTACTAATCCCATTTCACACCACATAATTAATTTTATGACCAATGAATTGGAAATGGAAATTTATGATTGGTAAGAGAGAAATTACACTTGTACCATATGAGACAAGAAAATCAGTTTGTGAAGTTACACATCATGTCAAATCCTACTCATTTTTTAAACTAATGTTGTTGATAGTTTACCCTAATCATCAGAAAATTATAGTTTTATTTGTATTATATCACAAAATATTTATACTTATTTGCATATTATGGCTGCCTAACAATTATGGTCAGTTGAAGATGATTATACATTATATGATATGATTTCAAACCCAGCTTGTTGAAGTCACATTAATTGAGCAAATTTATTACAAACAATTTCATAACTGCTCCCAATAGTATGCAAGTTGATTCATTTACACTCATTATTCAACTTCAAGATTTTTATTTTTATTTTCTCTCTTCATTTCTTTTTTTTTTTAATAAAGGGAAATAAATTATAGAGGGATAAAGAAAAAGTGGTCTAGGGTTTATCATGTCCCACCATTCGTATACCACAATTGAATAACAAAATTTTGGGTGCATTTTTTTATTATCATGAAAATGAAAATGATGTTAACGGTGTTTTAGGATTTATAATATTCGGAACACTTGATTTTTTTTCTTCTGTTCATTGTGATCGTATGACTTTGAATGGATGGATTTGTATCTGTTGGTATGGCTCATAAATACATGGTGTATTGATGTATTTGAGACTATTGAGAATAATAAAAAGATCCCTCAACCGCCGTGATGTAGGTATATTGCCGAACCACTCGTGTTGTTTACTTTCTCGTTTTTAATTCGTATGTCATGTTATCATTTTCTCTCAACAGTATCCTACACTTTTTTTTTCTTTATAAATCCCAACTAATACAAACAAATATGTTAATACAAATAAACGAGTAATCATCTTATACACATGCACAGATGTATATAAAATATTATAAGTGATATGTGTGAATTTATATTAAAATCTTTTATAATGAACATATCACATTTCTAAGATTTAATCATTAGTAAAATTAATAATATGAATATAAATTATTTGAATACATATGAATCATTATATTGCTTGAAAAAAAAGTTTGTGGGTAATGTATTTTTATAATTTGGAGGAATCATAGTCGAATAACTTACTTGACTAATTGTTATTATTATGATAATTATTTTTACAATGACAATTATTTATAAGATTTAAAGTTGTTTTACTATATTATTAAAAATATTTACTAATTGTTTTTAAAGATAATTGTTTCATGAGATAAAAAATGTATATAGAAAAAGATAATATTGATTGTAAAATAAATAGCTTGAACAATAGAATTGTTTATGATTATGTAATTTGTATCTAGCGCAATTAGTTGGTATTAACAATAATTATTATATAATATAATAACAAAAACTACATGATTACACTTGAACCTGCCCGTTCGTACACACATAGTGTGCGTGTGTCAGAAATGGTGATCACCATAAACCAATCTAGTTGCGCCACGTGTACTCTGCTCGGTCGATCCTTGGACTACTCTTAGTCTGTGAAGTGGTCGATCAAATGACCCTTGGCTCGATATGTCGATCTTCGACCAGGTCCTCCATGGACCTGTAACTGACCCTTTCTCCTTGTACTAGGGTCCCCCGTACTCTGTTATCGTGGTGTTCGACCACGACCACTCTTCTCGATTTTGTTCAAGACGACCCATTCAGTTTGCTGGATTCAGTGGACCGGGCTAATGGATCGTTTTATTTCCTTAAGAGTATAATATTTCATATCATACTGCTTATTCAGATAATGCACGTTCATGTACATAGGCTAAATCATACTTGTGGAATCATCCTTGACTATTTTGATGTAAATCATACTTGTGTTAATCTTTCATTGGCGAATAACTCCATAAAAAACAAAAATAAAATCAAGCTATATTTTTATACTAAATCAATTGAACCACATCGAATTACATGATTCGCTCAATTTTTCGATTCTCGTCCTGGTTTTGCTCATCCGTAGGTAGAATGTACTCCCTGTTCATGGTTTAATCCACACATACAAGGACCGTCAGCTAAACACCATTGGGCCTTCATTGAAGTTGTTGGGCTCCATTTTTGAAAACGCAGTTGGGATAAAAGCCCACTTCAAAGTTGCTCCATTTGCTAAAACACTGAACCCAATTCGTCATCACCTGTAAGCCTAACTTTTCTCACCTTCACGCACTGGCTGGCGATGGCGGCGGCCGGAAAACGAGTGGTGACCCTCGGCAGCAAAGGCTCTTCTTTAACTCCTTCCTCCGTATTCGATGTCGCCAATGGCTTCGCTCGCGTCACGATCGACTCCTCCGCCCTCTCCCGCCGCTCCCACTCCTCCACCTCTTCGAATTCCGCCGCCGCGAAATTCCCATTTACAGTTCCGAGTTATTTCACGCTCGAAGAAGCTAGGGCTTCTTTGATCCTCCTTGTCAACAAGTTACTACTTTCCTCGTCTTCTTCGCCCGCCGCAGCCCAGCTGCTCGAGATCCTCGAGCGAGGTGTTGGGATCTGGGAATACACCCTGAACGACGTCGCATCGTGTGATTTGCCGCAGTTGGATTTCTCCGTCGCGGCTATCGACGGCGTCTCCGCCATCCTCGACCACCGCTCCTCTGCTCTGGCCTCCATCGCTGACGCCCTCGCAGCTCTCTCGTGCGAGGCCCTGCGAGCCGACGTGTCATCGTTCAATCTGATGGACTCCGGTGACGGATCCTCGGCGAAGGACGCCGTTGCCGTTGCCGCTGATTTCAAGGTGTTTTTCAATGGGTCAAAGCTGGTAAACACGGGGAAAAAGCTTTTGCATCTTTCAATGGCGGAGATTCCTTCTGTCCATGGCAATTTCAGGGAAGTCTCTCGTTTGCTACACTCGAAAACTAGAGTTCAGTTGAATTCCGGGTTCAGGGCGGGCTCGGCAAAGGACATGTCCACTGCATTGTCATCGTTGGCAATGTCCCTGTTGAATTTGGGGGATATTAGTGTCCGCCGATCAAACCTCCTTCTGGCCGAATCAATTTCGGATACTATAATTCGTGCTCGGTTGGTGGAGATGTTGCCTGCTGAGTGCCAGTCTGCAGGTACATTAGAGGAGCTGCACATGTCCTCACAAGCTGCTCTCAGAAAAAAGGACTACTTTTTGTTCCTGCACAGTATTTATGAATTACTGGATGTGGTCAGGAAGATTGTTTCTTGTGAGGGGTTAATTGCATTTGTGGCGCTCGAAGGGAGTGAGATTTTTTCCCAGACAATTCAAGGGGTCAATGGAAATGTGGATAAGGCTATGGGCGGGGAATGTGTGAAGGCTGATAAGAAAAGTGAGAAGAAAAAGAAGGTGGTTTTGGGGAAAGGGTCAGTTGCTCTCGTGCAGTTCATTAAAGACAGGTTGCTGGGTGGAGCAGCAAAAGCCGACTTGGAAAAATGCACTCAGGATTTCCTTGTCTTTCTGGACCCGAGGGGTTCGGGGTTTAATGATCTCATTGTGAAAGTGAAAGAGATTGTTGAAAGTAATGAAAGCCGAAGGCTTCCTAAGCTCCCTAAGGTATTGCAGCCATAATCAAATGAAGTTTGAGCATTATTCGTGATATATGTCTATCCAGTATTCTTCTTTCTATGCTTCTGCCTGTTTATACTGTTTGATCAGCTTTTATGGTACACGATGACCTTTTTGTGGGGTGGCAAGGGGATGGTTCTTAGCGAGTGCAATGTCGAGACTAACAAATGGATTTGTTTATTTTTAATTTTTTTTTAGCGTGTTAGATTGAATTAGATGATCATGTTATAATCTAGGGATATCTGTCTTTGAGTGCATTCACCCAATATGATAGCCTCAAACATCATAAAATGAAATTTCTTGATAAAATAGACCATTTCTTTCACCGGATTGTACTTCACCTGAAATTCCTGGTTATAATATCTCAAATCCTCACCTGATTATACTGATTTTCTCATTTGGTTGTTTGATCCGTGGCTGATTATGCTACGGTAATTTAGTTATCCCCGTGATCATAAATTGTCCTTTTTGCCAATGTTCACTATAACATATAGTTATAGCTTGTTTATTGGGGACATTTTTGTAGTTTCTGGATATAGTATGTTTCTCCATATTCCAGCCTCATTCTATAATTGGATTCATTTGTCTATTCAGCATTACAGCTCCAGTTACTATGGAAACAGTAATAATTTGGATTGATATGTACTTTTTGTCTGCCATTATGCAGGGTACTCGTGATTTTGCGAAAGAGCAGATGGCAGTCAGAGAGAAAGCTTTCTCAATTATAGTTGAGGTTTTCAAAAGGCACGGTGCCATGGCTTTAGATACTCCTGCTTTTGAATTGAGAGAGACTCTTATGGGAAAGTATGGAGAAGACTCGAAGCTGATCTATGACCTTGCTGATCAGGTAAAGCTTTTGTTTTCATGAGCCTTTCTAATTCAAAATTACGGTTCTATTTTCCAGTTTGTTAGATAATAAACACTCTCCAGACTGAAAATCTGTGCAGTTATGTGTTGGACCAGTTACTTCATATCCTGGTTAAAGTTACTTGGTTTTGATATTACTGCATATAGGCACCCTATACGTAAATTGTTCAATCTGAACAAACTGTGTGGAGGTCACAAGCAAAATAAACTGACGGAACCCAAATTTTAGTGCCAGATTAGTTTTTTTTTTTTTTTTTCTCTTTTCCCTAAGGGTTTCTCTTTTCTTTAGGGTGGATTTTAGTTTTAAATTTCTCCCTTTCAAATTCTTAGGGTACTTTTTAAGTTTTAGCTATCTTACCTTTTTCCAGTGTTTTTTTCTTTCTTCAAATTATTATTTCGTTTGTGTTCTACTGTTCGTTAGCACAAATATGCTTTAAAACAATTTGCAGGGTGGGGAACTATGTTCACTGCGTTATGATCTGACGGTCCCTTTTGCCCGATATGTGGCTATGAATGGTCTGACGTCGTTCAAAAGGTATCAGATAGCCAAAGTGTACCGAAGGGACAACCCCTCCAAGGGAAGGTACCGTGAATTTTATCAATGCGACTTTGATATCGCGGGCCAATTTGAGAAGATGGGCCCAGATTTTGAGGTCATCAAGATCTTGACCGAGTTGCTTGATGAGCTCGATATTGGAGATTATGAGGTAATTTTCTTTGTGGTGCCACTGCATTGCATTGTTGTTGGTGTTCTGTTTAATGTGGAAAATGCTTACTATCTGTCCATCTGAAAACATTTCTCAGTTTTAGCTCCAAAATTTGGCAAAATATATCACTTTTTAAAAGAAGTGAAACAGACTTTTATTTTGGTTATTATGAATATTATTTTTCATAATTAGGAAATTAACTTTAATTTACAATATATTTTCCAGGTGAAATTAAATCACCGAAAGCTGCTGGATGGGATGCTAGCTATTTGTGGGGTGCCACAAGAAAAATTCAGAACAATCTGCTCGAGTATTGACAAACTAGACAAGCAGACGTTCGAGCAGGTCAAAAAGGAAATGGTGAGTCCTCGCTTATTAATCTGTAATATGTCTTCATATATATGCTCATCGAATTTCAAGATTTCAACTAATTGTACTCATGCAGGTTGAAGAAAAAGGTTTGGCCGAGGAGACTGCAGATAAAATAGGAACTTTTGTTAAACACAGAGGATCTCCCGTGGAGCTACTGTCCCAGTTAAAGAAGGAAGGCAGCGAGTTTTTGACCAACAGTGATGCTAAGCTGGCATTGAATGAATTGGACACTTTATTCAACGCTCTGGTGAAGGCTAAGTGTGTGGACAAAGTAGCTTTCGACTTGAGTCTTGCACGAGGTCTGGATTACTACACTGGGGTCATATTTGAAGCTGTTTTTAAAGGGGCTACTCAGGTGTTCTCTCTCTCTCTCTCTCTCTCTCTCTCTCTCTCTCTCTCTCTCTCTCTCTCTCTCTCTCGCGCTCTCTCCCTTTTTCTCTCTCCATTTTTTTTCCTAATTAAGTGGATGATTTTGTAGGTCGGTTCAATTGCTGCAGGGGGACGTTATGACAATCTCATCGGGATGTTTGGGACGAAGCAGGTTCCAGCAGTTGGGATCAGCTTAGGTATAGAGAGAGTATTTGCTATTATGGAGCAGCTCCAAAAGGATAAAGATCAGGTTTGATTTTATAATCTTACTTTATCATTTGGCTACATATGCTTGGATATTAAATATTTTGATTTTGTTTGGATTTTTTTAGTTTTTAGTATGGTTAATTTTGAAAAAAATGGTATAGTTAGTTATTTGCAGGATTTTGATTTTGTATTAAAATAATATTTACATAAAATAATTAAAGTTGATTTGATGTAAAAGTATGAGAGAGATAATGTGAAGTGATGGTTAGTTAAAAATTAAAATTATGCGAGTGGATGAATAAATGAATTAAAGTTGATGCAATGTGTAAGAATAATTGAGTGACATTATTTAAAATATTGATAATATTGATGATATTGAAGAAACTAAAGAAACCTATGAACTACCACAAAAGAGCAAGAAAGTATCCAAAAGATCTGCAAAATCCCATCACTTTCTTCTGCTAATCGAAATTGATTATTGTGGTGAAGTTCAGACATTAATCTTATGTATGGATTTTGTATCAATATTGTCTCATTTTACAACACTCATTGTGTAAGGAAATCCGAGCAACCGAGACTCAAGTGCTGGTGAGCATACTCGGGGATGACCTGTCTCTGGGTGCTGAGCTTGTGAGCGAGCTGTGGGCCGCGAAGCTGAAAGCCGAGTTCTCGGTCAACAAGAGGGTCGTCAAGCACATTGACCGGGCTCGTGGGGCCCGCATCCCGTACGTGATAATTGTGGGGGATCAGGAGCTGAGCAGAGGGATCGTGAAGCTGAAAGATGTCACGGCTGCCAATGAGTGTGAGGTCCCGAGAGGTGAGATCGTGGCCGAGCTTAGGAGACGGTTGAGCAGCACATGCTCGTCTTGATTAGCTTGCAGAAAACGATTGGTCCAGAGCTCTCTTAGATCTGAGATATAGTTTTTTTTTTTTTTT